TTGCTTTGTTTGTTTTGCATTTTTATGACAAATGCATTAATTTTTTATTGTTTAGCAATCAAGTATTGAGCCTCGACACACTGGTCTTTGCAGACAGTCTGAACCCGGGTTTTCATGGGCGAGAAGGCGAAGAAAGTAGTAGTTTACGCTCAGCAATTTCAGGCGCCGAATAGTGTGTACATCAGCCGATTCTTTCTTAAAAAGGGATCTCTAAAAAAAAAAAATGTTTTGACAACTCATATAGCTAAAATTTCGTTTCCAGCGTATTTTGCATCGCTAAAAATCTATATTTTTCGCTTAAACAAGTTAAAAATCCGCGACGAGAAAAAATTGCTGCTAAGAAAAAAAATCAGTCAACAAATCATAGCTACTTTTGCTATTGCTGTTCGTTAAAACTACTCAACTACATAAAAAAAAAAACTTTACAATTAATAGGAATAATGGAAAACAGCAACGGAAGAGTGACAAAAGAACAAAAATGTATATGTGAACAATATTTTGAGAAGCTTTATTGAACTTCTTAAATTAAACAAAAAATTTATTAATACATGCTCTCAAGCAGAGATTCCTATCATACTGTCTTCATGAAACACTTAATTTTCACTTAAGATTTCATTATTTTCAAAATCTCCTCCGATATCATTTATATTAAAAATGCTAATACTGCTTTGTGACACATATATATAATCAAAAGTCTTGCCCACTGATCGCTGGTAACTTCCATAAAGGGATACCGATAGAGCTCTATTCAGCTTGAGCAAAAATCCCAAAAAAAATATCGCAAAATTTTGGGAAATCGCTTTGCTGTCCTGTAATATTGACATGGAGCACCTCAAAGTCATTCAGCCTTATCACGAGTTTAATTTTCACCCGAAACCATTCACTTTTAAGGATACGGCTGATTATTACAAAACTCTTTTGTGAGCCTAAACAGTTTCACAAACCTCTTTTCCAAAATGCTGAAACTATCCGTAGATTATCTCATGGATTTGCGAAGGCTGTTCTTTAATCTTCTTTGCGAATATTACTTAGTATTTACATTTCCATTATTTGGAAACCAATTTTGACAGCCGCTGTTGTTGCACAGCGCCAATTGCGGCCGGAAAAAGTACTAAAATTTAGGCCAGGCTATTTTTACGGACAGGGAGGACAGAGTCGTTCTCCAAAAATTCGGTTACAATTTTAGCTTTAACATTTTAGCGATAGCGAAAGTTGGAGTCCGGCTGTTGGACATGGAAAACTTTAAGCGACAGGTTGTGAAGATATGGGTTGAAATACCCGACGCAGTAGTGCATACCACTTGCATACCCTTCCCAAAGCATTTACAGCTAGCAAAAAATAGCAATCGTGAAAGATTTGAACTCAATGAACAAAAAGTAAATGAAAATTAAGCGTGTTCTTTTCAAGATCAACTTAGGTATTTATATGCATTTCATTAAATTTTTGTAACAGTTATCCATTGCCGCGAGATAAACTTATTTTGCATGAGTATAAAAACATATACCTTGTTTATACCTACGCAAGAACAGCGTTAACAAAAAACCGATTTGACTCAACCCATATTTTCTTTAAGTGTTTATACCTGTGTCGTTATAGCGCATTCGCTGAAATCGTATTCAAAAGTTAACACAATTTTTTTAATTTTTATTCGATATTTCTTTAATAATTAATTTGCACGGTGGACCGAAATGCAAGCGAACAAGAATTCAAATTTTTTATAATAGTAATTCAAATTTAAAACGGGCTTTATAAATAAAACCAGCCTTTTTTTGTTTCGCTTCAAATGAATGTTGTGTTTATGCGTGTTTTCTAACTGATGTGGGAAACAAAAAAGCGATCTGAAAAGAAATTCGAATCAATACACTTTTGAATTTCTGAGCGTATTGAAAGTTGGTTTCTGTTTCCGTTTTGAATCACAGTGAACTAGTGATGGGCGAAATAGCGATTTTTAAGTATCAGTGAAAATAGTGATTGCGATTTTTAAATCGCAGTGATTTTTTATAGCTATTGCGACCGCTAGTAACCGCTTTTAATAAAACAGTGTTGGTACATGTAGGGATAATTCCCTACCCGTAGGGAATTCAGTCGAAAAAATTAGTATACGGAGGAGGTAAAAGTTGCATTTATTCGCTCAAAAATTGCCATATTTCACTTAGTTTTTTATTAATATTTGCAGCCATCTTTACTTGTTGATACAAATTTTGAAATAAAAGCCAGGGCTGCAAACTACTCCAAAAATCGGTGCGGTTCGGTTCAGTGGTTCGAACCACTTAGACTTTGTTCAAACAGGCACCTACATAATTGGCAATTAAGAATATTTTCACCAATTTAAGCCTTCATTGTTATCCAATTTATCATACAAAAATTCAAATTATTAATTGCCAATTCTTAAATTTCAGATTCTCTGTGCAACCCTGCTAGACATGTTTATTGAACAAAGAGCAATCAGCTGTTCGTTGATGGTCCTCTTTTATAGCTGATATTCCATCAGGGATGAAAAATTGAATTATAAAATTGTACTTAATTTACGGAAAACTTTACCTAAAAGTAGATAGATGTACCTAAAAAGTAAATATGTATTTCTATATAAAGAAAAAAGGGGGATAACAATTCCCATCGATACCATATCAACTTCTGCACTCACATTAAACAAATTTTGGCTATGAAAAGAATCTCTTCGAGCAGCGTGAGACAAAACTATATTGTAGAAAAGGAGAATCACTTTCCTCCCAGTTCTTCGATCCGACGTTCTAAACAGAAACATTGTCCATTTATCTGGCGAAATCAACTACAGTTGCGTTACTTTGACCACCCTTCTGTATCATTTGTATGCCCCTTCACAAAGGAGGGAAGCTATTAGACCAGTTGCTCGCACAAGAAAATGAATTGAAATGCCAATAAAAATAAGAACTGATTTCCTGAGAAGTTATTTGGATAAGTTCCAAATGTACCTAAAATTTTGTGTTTGTACCGAATGTAGTTTCAAACGAAATAAAGGTACGATTGTACCAACTTTTCCGTCACTGTAGGTAATCCAGCAGCTGATTTCGTATCGCTAATTGCGCAGCTGACTTGTGTGTGAACACCAAACTCAGTGCCGCAATTCAAAGCTTAATTGCCTCAGCTAATTGGCCTGTTTGAACATTGTCTACATAGTCATGGTTCACGAGTATTCCTGAACCGCGGTTCGGTTCGATTCAACTGGTTCAATTTCTGTATGCTAAAGTATATAAATATTACAAAAATATGCCAAATCCATAATATAAAAATTAAAGGCTTTGTTATTAAGATCAAATTTAAACATGCACATGTAAAGTGGTTGAAAAAATAGGGAAGCAATATTCTATCAAGTATAGGCTATTTTTCCTTTCTTTATTAAATGTTTATTTTTTAACCATATAAACCCAATTTTCACGCTTTGTGCAAAAATGGATAATTTTTTTGAATAAGCATTTCTAGGAAAAATGTTTAAGTTTTAAGTTGATTTTTACAGATTTCACAGATTTTCTTCCATACAAAGTATGTATGTTGGACAATTTTTTTCAAAGGAAAATTAGAAAAATTTTAATAAACTTTTTAATGTTTGAACAAGTGGTGACCCTAGTCGAGTACTATGTAGATTAGGCTGGAGCTTACACCTGGCCTTAACTTCATATGTACAAGTATACCTATGGTCAAAATAATATTAGTGCGATATTTGACTATTTTTCTTTTGTTGGTTTAATGTTCCGTAATTTTTTATAAAGTATAGCTCGTCATGTAACAACAGGATATAAATCCAAATTTCAAACGTTGTACGAAAATTAGAAAAAACCTACAAGTTTCAACCAAATTGCATCATAGATTCAAACTTTTTAATCCAAACTAAAAAAATCCGAGTTTTAGAAAATTTTTATTTAACTGGCATTGTTAAGCATTTTCTTATATATATACATATATAAAAAAAAAAAAACAACTCACGGAGTTGCCATCAAACAAAAATTTTGCAGTTTTACTATACAGGTTGTGTATTACAAAACTTGAAAAATGCTTCAGTGGATTTTCATTTTGAACCGAATTTTTTTAGAGTGATTTTCGGTTCGGTTTTGGCATTTCAAAAACGGTTCGGTTCGTGGTTCGGCTCGAAGCTCGATAAAAGCGGCGGTTCGGTTCAAAAAACCGGTTTGCAGCCCTGATAAAAACTGAAACGCAAATAACGCGATCAAGCAAATCAAATTACGTACTTGAAAAAAATAATGAAAGAACGCAATATGTATACATACGAGCATATTTACAATGAATAATTAAAAATTGTAAAATCACCATTTCTACCATCATAGAGAAAAATCACCATTCCCAACTTCTGTTGACCTGCTATTGCCAGATGTGATTTTTATTACCACCGCAATATGATGCGAGTAGAAAAATCTCCAGTCACTGATATTGTGGCCTAGCAGTAGCAGTCATTACCCAGCAAACAATTAGGTTTGGTATACATTTGAGAATGATTTGAAATTAAAACCTTTCTCACATGTCAAAAGTTTACAGCTTTCCCAATAAAAAGGGGAGTTTGATCTCCATTTGAGAATATGGTTAACTCTCAAATCAATTTCAAAGGTTATTTATCAATTGTACATCACATGTGGAAATAAAATTTATTATAGGAAATGTATATTTCATATTTATTTTTTCTTCGCGATGTACATATATATGTACATAACAAAAGAAACAAATTAGATAAAGTAATTTATCTTCAATCCGCGCAAACATCAAATCCACTATTTGTGGGCTTTTTCTTTGAAAGCTTTTTTCTATTCATTGTTTTTTTGTTCAATTGATCTTAATTTTATTCTTACAATTTTCGATTTAACTGCGGATTTTTATATCGTTTGACACTTACCATCTTTCTTCAAATCAACCTCAAATGAATTTCAAATGTAAAATTTAAACCTCGTCTTCAATTTGAGAATCATTTGAAAAAAAAAACATCTGATATCAAATTGAGAAATACATTTTTCTCAAACGTTTGAAACTGTGTTTGCTGGGATTAAAGCTCTTTATGCGTCGGTATAAACAAGGTAATATAAATATTTATCGCTCACATTTTTGTTAAGTCTTTGATTGTATTGGCTGCAGATCAAGCGAAGAATAACTCTTGCCAGCAATTCAAAATCATGTCCGTTTCTTTTAATTGGCATAGCAATGTGGACGATGTCGAAAGACGATAAGAAGGTTTTGGGGGGCTTTCATTTTCCTGTGGACTGGGATGGGTACCAAAGCGGATTAAATGAAGAATAGTCGGGTCTACATAACCGGAATTACCCTGATTTACATATTACAATTTAACGTCCTCAATTTTACTAAGAAGCAACTTTTCATTTGAATCCGTCCATAATTCTGTTTTTGCCCACATTTTATATGGAAGGGAAGCACTGTGCGTAGTGAAAATTTTGGTTTAGTGCAATTTGCCCAACCCTGGTCATGTTGTTGTCGTACAATGTAGGGATCTACAGTTTTACGCCGATTACGAAGGGCAAATTAATTAACTACTTTTGTTAATTTTTATTAGAAGCTTTAGCATAACAGTACACGCGGAGGTTTGCTATTGCCTGCCGTCGGGAGATCGCTATTAGAAAAAAAAAACTTTTTTTTTTTTATGCTGATGATGACGTAGTTCGGGTAAAGTGTGTGTTAGTTTCTATTAGTAAATTTGGTTGCGCATGCGTTTAACTTGGAGTGGTTTGAGCAGCTTGTGGAATAAACCAAAAATAAAATAAAAGGCGCGAGTCTTTAAGTACCGCGCCGGTTTGAATGCCTTTGCATATAACGTTACCGCGTATCGTACCGTACCGCGCCTCCGATATGGCCAAGACTTAGTACCAAATGGGTCCCGAACTATACCAACGAGTACTGTTTCTAGAACAGCTGTACCATTGGTACCATTTCTGAATTCGTCTTGGTGATGTTTACACGGCCAAAGCTAATTTCCTTGCTCATCTCAGAAATCGAAAATTAATTTCGTGTCGTATTTCACTCATTTACGAATTCCGCGGGAACGGATTTGGATTTCATAAAAAGCAACTTGAGTATTGCTGAGATGCATACACAGCGTAACAAGTGTAAAAATTATATATACAAAATGCAATCAGTCTAAGTAAATTAGTTGAAACCTGTATTGAAATTAGAATGACAAGAAAACTTAAATATTTACAGTACAAATTTCATTACTTGTTTCTTTCAAGTCTTCGTAAGATTTAGTTTTTATTTTCCAACATCCAAATACGCTTATTTAGCTATCAATTACCTTGTTTATACGACACTAACTACGGTTTCATATAAATTCGTGTCAGTGTAACACAGTTAATTTGCACGCGTTTATACGATTTAAGTTAACACGAATTAATGCACTTTATAAACAAGGTGAATGAGAAAATAAATATTCATTCAACATGCCTGCAAAAATTAATGTAGTAAATTTTTTTTCAAAATTTCTTATTTTCATTGCTTTCCTGTATTTCCATTGGTTAATGTGTTTTCGTTTATTTGTGTAAACTACATGTGTGATCATATTTTATGTTTAAAATGTGTATGTTTATTATTCTCTGGCAGTACTTTTTACAGTAATCTTTTCTTTTCTATTTTAATATTATTATTATTTTCTTTTTATATGGGCAATTATTTTAAAACTAAATCAACATAAAAAATGTGTACAATCACATAAAGGCAATGGACCGTGTTAAATAAAGCATTTCATAACTAAACACGCCCAAACTAAACTCCTAAATCATGGATTTGAGATTATTAATTTTCAAATTATCCAACTAAACACCTTCCACAAATTTTTTACTTTATCCAGCTAATGCGTTGCACAAGCACAATCGGTTGCATTTCGGCTATTTGCCACTTCGAGTCCACAGCTTCCGCCATACCTTGAGCGCTTGCAATTTCGCATCCTTTAATTTCTTCTATCTCTTCATCCGTTACCTCAGCTTGTGAAATTTCTCCAGCCAATCTCATGCGGTTCAACTGTTCCTCGGACCGTGGCCGCAATGTACGAAGTCGTTCATTTTCATTCGTCTTCCAATGCGCTGGAACCAGAGAACGTTTATTAATGAGAAGGCTCAATTCCAGAATGAACTTCTGGCCGTCAAAAATTTTGAGTTGTGGGAGACGGAATATACCACACCGGACCAGAAACCACAACTCGTCGACGGAATACTCTTTGCCGCCACGCCAAAGATTTTCAATTCTACCACTCTAAGACGGAATTTACCATAGTGAAAAGCAAAATGAAAAATAAGAACGAAAACGGAAAGAGAAAGAGAAATCTAATAAGCACTAGGCAGAGGCGTGCTGGTGCCAGATCAAAACAAGCACTAAAATAAAAATGGAAGTCAGAGCGACAAGTGTCGAGAATGAAGCGGTGAACGGGGAAAGGAGTGGGTTTTTGTACATTTCCTTGCTTGCCGAAAATATGATACATATTTGCGTGAAATGAATTTGGTGATTGCAAATTGATTTTTGCAAACATGTATGAATTTTTCTATTTCAGCTAAGTTTATAAGATTTTTTAAGGCAATATTTTAACTTTATTCGACAATCGTCACAAGTCATGTAAAATCGACTTTTTTATAAAAAGTTACATACCTATTATTTTATTATAATTTAATTTAACATATGTATGTACATCAGCAAAAAATCCGAAATAGGACAATAAAGTGGATGAAATGCGGATTTTTGTCCGTTTACTGATTCCATTTTCGGATACTTTATGTATTCCATTACCCAGAAATTAGCAGAACTTTTAAAAACTTAGCGATCTGTTGAGTTTAGATTTTGCTTAACATTTTCTTAAGTTACATTTTTATTGCACTGGTACAAATGGTTGTGCGAGTTATGCGAAGGATGCATAATCAGAACTTTATTCAAGTTTTTCTTAAACCAGTCTTTGAAAAAAGTGCAAAAACAGCATCAAAAATTTCATTATTATAATTCCGTAGAAATTTTTTTTACATTTTTTTATGCAAACTTTTTCAGCTTAAACTTTTAAGTCATCTGAGGTAATTTTTTCAAAAACTCAATTTTTGGAGGTATTTTCAAATCGGTCCAGCTCACGTAAATCTTAATATTTTTGCGAGATATTTTGTTGGAAGTCTTAAAATATAATAGGTTTTACAATTCCAGTTGAAAAACAGTACCGATTTATATTTTTTTTTGTATGGGGAGTGATGCACTCTACTGTACATAAGGTGATTATGATTACTCGGCCGTCTATCATAGTAGCACAATGCCACTAAGTGCATTTTAAAATTTTCAGGCAATAGTCTCATGCGATTATCGATTATATTTTTTGTTGTTTGTGTGAAATATTTTATTTTTATCAGTATTTTTCTTTTAATTAAAATATGTTGAAATAAAAGTAAAAAAAAAAAATATTTTGCCACTCAAAATATTGCCTTAGAAAATCGTATCGTCGTTTAAAGTACAAAAGCGCGTATCAAGAAAATGTGAAACCGCGTATGTGAGGTTGCATAAATTATTTTCTAGAGAGTAAAAACACTCATATTTCAAAATGGTTCTCTTTTTTATAAAGCAATCGCATTTCTGGCTAGTATATTTCAGGACGAATGGATAAGGATTGAGCCAAGAGTTTGTATGAGCAAATCCAATTTTTGGCAGCAAATGTCAGGTACGCGGTTTTGCAGAACGCATACGCGCTTTTGTACTTCGACATTATAAATTTAGCTGAAATAGCTTCATTCTCCACACTTGTCGTTCTGACTACCATTTTTCGTTTTCGTTCTTATTTTTCATTTTGCTTTTCGCTATGGTAAATTCCGTCTTAGAGTGGTAGAATTGAAAATCTTTGGCGTGGCGGCAACGAGTATTCCGTCGACGAATGGTGGTTTCTGGCCCGGTGTGGTATATTCCGTCTACCACAACTCAAAATTTTTGACGACCAAAAGTTCATTCTGGAATCGCGCCTTCTCATTAATAAACGTTCTCTGCTGAAACCTTTAATTTGTTCTGTTATTTACGTTTGCGACTGGACACACGGTCGGCCTTCTTCGTACGCGCTGGCGTTTTTGATTTGACTGGCGCAGGTGGTGGTCTTGCTGGCTGCACCGCTTTCAAATTCTGTAGTTTTTGGAGTTCCTTAGCGACAACAGGCTTATTTACAGGGTTTTTTACGGCGCGCGCAGTCTTTGGTTTTGACAAATTCACCGCAGTTTTTCTCGCTTTGGTTTTCTCAGCTGATTCAATTAGCTTTGGCTTCTTCGGACCCTTATTTAACGAGCCCGGCGGCCGGCCGCGACGACTTGTTGTAGTCGCCTCAGTGCCAGAGATCTTTGAGGCTTTTAATGTCACATTCTTTTCCGCACCCTCATTCTCCATGCACATATCTACAGCGGGCGGCACGAACACCTTTATTTGCGCCATACTATCCTTCGAATAGGTGTGTGCAATATTACCCAAATTGACGGGCGGCACAACAGCGCTCGCCGGTAGTACAACACACGGTTCTACATCTGATAGATGAACTTTAGATGTCTGCAATCGACTGCAACCAAATACAAAAGTGCCATTCGATTCACTAGCGCTGCCAACGCCTCTTCCTCCTCGGCTACGTGCAGATAGTGGCAGTTGCGAAATGTTGCGCTTTTGTGTGTGATTGCGTCGTCGAGTTTGTGCTGGTTTAGTCACCGGCTCAGTGGTCGTAGATGGCGAACTGCCACCACTACCTCCACCAACACCACCAACACCACCACCACCACCGCTATTCAAACCGACACTTGTACCGCTCGTAGCAATACTGCTCGTGAGGGTGTTCACATTGGGTGTGGATATAGTGTTGGACGTAAATTGTACGTGCAAAGTCGATTCAGACGAAAAAGTCTTTCGTCGTCGTTGCGGGACGTTATTGGCAGGATCGTCATTTCTGTTTTCATGCAATATGGACTCATCAGAAAATTTGCGCGTGCGCCGGCGCATATGGTATGAGTTTTCTGGTAAGTGATGCGTTGTATCGATTTGGCTATTTTGAACTACCATAGCGGTTTCTTCGACGATAGTGGGAGTTGACACATCCGCTGACTTGTTGAGAGTATTGGAATTAGAACGCTTTTCCGGTGTAAAAACGAGCTCTTGTGTTGAAGAAACTTCATGATCGGATGATATTGATACTGCTGTATGAGTATTAGGAATGAAAAGATTTTATGATAAACTTATAATAAACTATAGAAGCAAAGAATAGTCTGAATGAAATGGAAAGTATAGAAACTAGAGCTGGGATACTATCGATAATATCGATAGTTGAAAAATCTCGCCTGTCGGTGTTTACGAACGCCAAATGACACTGAAGATGGCACAATGCCGAAACCGGTTTGTCTCCAAACCAAACTTGACAAGGGATGACGGAAAATCGTTCCACAATAGATCATACTCCTACCCTGTCGGAAACACAAACAACCAAAAAGAAGTTATTCATATCTAATTCAGATGTTCTGATAAATTAATAAGTTTACGTTATTATTATAAAAAGTTCCTTTTGATTCCTACAAATAAAAAAAAAAAATATGCGTAATTTACAAAGTAATTTATAATTTTTTAACCAATTTTCAAAGAATTAGAGTTTCAACTGAACACTGTTACATAATGTGGCTCACGACGATAGTAATATCGATACCATCGATGTTTTCAACTATCGCTTCGAAAACTATCGAGTGACGGTACTATCGATAGTATCCCAGCTTTAATAGACACCAAATAATAAACATTATCCGGTACTTGAGAAAATATGTCTGTATTTCGCTATGCTACTCAGATATCTTCAGCAAATAAATCTGAAATAAATTTCGTCGGTTTGGGGAATGCATTGAATGAGTTAAGGCATTAAACGTACTTTTAACTCGGTCGTATTTAGCTTTTACTTGGATATACATTAGGGTGGTTCAAAAACATATAAAATACATGGACAACTTGGGGCGCTTTGGGCGACCTCTAAATATTTTTTGATTTCAACAAAAAATAAATAAAAAATATGGGTATATTGTTTCGGTATAGAACAATCCTAGGGGTTGAGAGCATAAAAATTCCGACTTTATTTTTTCACATGCATTTTTGGACCACCCTAATATACATACATAATCATATATGTTTGGGGTAAGTTTAAGTTGTAAATGTTATATTTATTATTTTAAAGAGAAGAACATTTCGCTCTCAACTCCACGTTCGTTTTGAAAACCCTCTGTTAAAGTTAAAAAAATGCTCCTGTACTACGAGTGGAAAATAAGCAAATTGTGTATCGACACCTGAGTGGAAGATCGACCTATCTCGGCAGCCAGTTCGAAAACGCCCTATCTCGGAAAACTTTTCAAGAACGCCCTATTTCAGAAATTGGTTGAAGAACGCCCTATCCCAGTATATTCGGTTTAAAAACGTCCTATCTCAGCTGAAAATACATTGAAAATGTGCTGAGATAGGGCGTTCTTCAATCAATTTATGAGATAGGGCGTTCTTGAAAACATTTTGCTCTCAACTCCAAGTTCGCTTTGAAAATCCTCTTGTAAAGTTAAAATATTCTCCGATACAATTTTTTATCTTCCTTATATTTTGATATAGCACCTACGGAGCAAATTATCTACCCCAAAGATAACTATCGGGCCAATTTTAGGACAATACATTCATCTGTACGTGGCTAATATTTAGATGTACGTTCAGAATGTGAATCAAAACGAACCGTAAAAGGAGTTTATCGAGATATCACCGACTCCGGCGCCACCTACCCTATTATTTTATTTTTTTTGCATTTTAGGCTACATTTTCAGCAAAGGTGTAATTCGTTGGTCGCGAAAAAACTTATATTGATTTGAAAATGTGTGAAATATCTAAAGAAATACGATATGTGATTTTTTTGATATAAAAAAGGTGAAAACGCAAAACATGCCGAAAAGTACTGTGAGTGAACGTCGGACCAAGGAGTGGTTTGATCGATTGCGTTGTGAAAATTTCGCAGTCAAAGATGCATCTCGCTTTGGTCGGCCAGTCACTGGAAACGTCGATGAAATAATGCAAATGGTTGAAGCAAGACCGGCATAGAAGGTAAGGCATTAAGCATCAACCATACGATAATTTGGAATCATTTAAAAAAAATCGGGCTACTCAAAGGAACACGATGTCTGGGTGCATCATGAATTAACGCAGAGAAATTTGATTGAGCAAAGGTAGAACGCTACTGAAACGGAACGAAATTGAACCATTTTTGAAGCGACTCATTACGGGCGATGAAAAATGGATTGAATACGAGTATAAGCAAAGGTCGATGACCCTCCACAAACGACTTCAAAGCCTGGATTGACGACAAACAAGGTTATGTTGAGAGCATGGTACGATTGCAAGATTGCAATTGTCCACAATGAACTGCTACAAAGTGGTGAAACGATCAATTCGACCGTTTGAAAGAAGAAATCAAGAAAGAGCTACCAGACTTGGCCAACAGAAAAGGAGTTATTTTCCATGATGAGAACGCCAGGCCGCACACATCTATAATGACTCGGAACAAATTGACGGAATTTGGTTAGGAAGTTTAAATGCGTCCACCGTATAGCAAGGACTTTGCACTCTCTTGATGATAAAAAACTGGCCGACCCAAGAGCCACTGAAAAGCACTTGGTCAAGATTTTCGCCGACAAATCATAGCAGTTCTACACCGATGGAATTATAAAGCTATATCTTAAAAATGGAAAAAGGTCACAGATAATAATACCAATATGTGCTTGATTCAGATTTATTTTATTTTTTCAAAAGTGTACCCAAAAATCCCTGTAGCCTTTTTATATGACTTAGGTTTGGTTAGGTAACTTGTGATGCTCTTAGAGGGGAGAGGGGAAAAGGACGCAGGGGGACCGGAAAAAGACTAGACTTTACTCTTTGGTTTTCATCAATAAATTAAAGAAATTATAAAACTGTACAACTTACCATTCGACGGTGGTGGTGAATTCATAGCATCTTGAAATTGCTGTCCAAGTTGTAATGGTGGCGTTAAACTTTGGTGAGATGAGCGATCACTAAACTTTCCGACATCCTGTTCAGCCAGCACGGGTGCAGCCACCGATGGTAAATCCTTTACTGACACTTGCTCAGGTTCTTTTACTGGAACACTTGCAATCGCAAGCGAATCTGGCTGCGCCAACTCAGCGGCCATTCTTTCTTTAGAATTCTGTGTCGTTGGCGTCAGCGGCAATTCATTTTTCGCCGGTTCTGCAATCAAAGCCGTTGTTGGCGTTTCTGTATGACGTTGTTCATCCGTGTCTGGTGACACATCCGCGTTGGGAATAGGTAAAGGTGTCGGCGCCGATATTGCTACAGCAGGCGGTGTAGGTACATCACGACTTTCACCGTTGAGCAAGTATGTTGGCAACGTGGGCGTAGCTTCGAAACTCATCAGCGTCATAGTAGCGCCCTTAATCACATGCACAGTTGTGGGTTCAACAATGCTTTCCAAATCGGACATTTTATGTACATGTCTTGATAGCTGCGACAACAGACAATCACTACTGGATTCCTCATCATCAGACACAGTGGACGCGGTGCGTACGAGTTCGTCAGATTTTTTAACTGTTAATGGTTTTGTATTTTGAGTTGCGTCGGCGTTGCCAGCGCCAGCGCCATCGTCATGGCCATCAATGGGCGTTATGCAACGAGAATTCGATTCCTTTTGCAAACCAATTACAGTTGGTGGATCCGGCACAATCTGGATGTTAGACGAAAACGAATCGCACGATGGTCTCTTTGGCAATATTATGCCTGTCGCCAGTAGAGAGTCACCATTTTC